GAGCTCAGCAAAATGCGTGGAGGCAGACAATGTCAGAGTACAGGAAAGCACAAAATGAACGCAAGGACAGGTGGCGGGAGCAGGAGGAGAGGTTGCATCAGTGTGATGAGAGGAGGCAGGAAGTAATGCTGAGGCTAATGGAGGATCAAACTGATATGCTCCAGCGTATGGTTGAGGTGCAGGAAAGGCAGCAGGAGCACAGACCGCCGCTGCAGCACCTGTGTAACCAACCGCCCTCCTCCCCAAGTTCCATAGCCTCCTCACCCAGACGCCCAAGAACACAGGGTGGGAGGGGGCCTCCGGACTCCAACCACTCCACGGTGATCGAAGGGGGTAGGGGAGGGCGGTTGGCTTACAGGGAAGTAGAGTGAACCAAGGGGGCGGGTTTTCAACAAAGAGAAACAAACAGAACTTTCACACTGTAGCCTGGCCAGTCATGAAATTGGTTTTCAAAGCTTCTCTGATGTGCAGCACGCCCTGCTGTGCTCTTCTAACTGCCCTGATGTCGGGCTGCGCGTAATCAGTGGTGAAGCAATTTGCCTCTACCACCCACCCCGCCATAAACGTCTCCCTCTTACTCTCACAAATATTGTGGAGCACACAGCAAGCCATAATATGTACTGGTTGGCAAGGTGGTCCAGTGCCAAGATAGGAATATGAGTTCCGTCTATCACCCCACCACAGTTAGGGAATCCCATTGCAGCAAAGCCATCCACTATGACCTGCACATTTCCCAGAGTCACTACCCTTGATAGCAGAATGTCAGTGATTGCATTGGCTACTTGAATCACAGCAGTCCCCACAGTTGATTTGCCCACTCCAAATTGATTCCCGACTGACCGGTAGCAGTCTGGCATTGCAAGCTTCCACGTGGATATGGCCACTCACTTCTCAACAGTCAGGGTAGCTCTCATCTTGGTATTCCGGCACTTCAGGGTGGGGGAAAGCAACTCATAGAGTTCCAGGAAAGTGGCCTTACGCATGCGAAAGTTTCACAGCCACTGGGAAACATCCCATACCTGCAACACTATGCGGTCCCACCAGTCTGTGCTTGTTTGCCAGGACCTGAATCGGCGTTCCGCTGTATCAATCAGCCCCACTGCCGCCATGATGTCCCAATTGCCACAGCCCGTGCTTTCAGGAACATCTGTGTCCAGGTCCTCATCACAATCGTCCTCGTGCTGCCGTCTCTTGGTCAGGTTCTGCACATACTGCAGTATAATGCGTGAGGTGTTTACAATGCTTGCAACAGCAGCGGTGAGCTGGGCTCCCTACTTGCCATGCTATGGCATCTGCACGGGTAACCCAGACAAAAAGGCGACTAATGATTGTCTGGAGTTGCTTTCATGAAGGGAGGGAGGGAGGGAGTGGAGAGTGACGACATGTACCCAATACCACCTGCGATAATGTTTTTGCCCCATCAGGCATTGGAAGCTTAACCCATAATTTCAATGGGCAGCAGAGACAGCGGGAACTGTGGGATAGCTTCCCACAGTGCACCGCTCCGTGAGTCGATGCTAGTCACAGTAGTGAGGATGCACTCCACTGACTTAATGCGCTTAGTCAGGACATACACAACTGACTGTATAAAATCGATTTCTAAAAAGCAATTTCTATAAAATTGACCTAATTTGTAGTGTAGACATACCCTTAGACAATTCAGATGTCTTCAAGTTACCAGGGCCTGATGAAATATATTCTAGAATACTCAAGGAGCTGACTGAGTTGGTATCTGAGCCATTTGTGATCATCTTCGACAAATTACAGAAGATGGGAGAGATTCCAGAGGACTAGGAAAGGCCAAATATAGTACCCAGGTATACAAAGGGAAATAAGCATCACCCGGAGAATTACAGACCAGTCTGCTTAACTTCAGTACTCAGAAAAATAATGGAGCAAATAAGTAAGGAATCTATTTGCAAACACCTAGACGATAACAAGCTGATAAGTGGAAGTCAGCATGGAGCTTTCCAGAACAAATCATGTCAAATCAAACTAACATCTTTCTTTGACAGGGTAGGGGGAAGCAGTAGACCTAGTATATCTTGATTTAGTAAGTCTTTTGATAATGTCTTGCATGACCTTTTCATAAACAAATTAGGGAAATACAACCTAGATGGAGCTACTATAAGATGGGTGCATAACTGGTTGGAAAACCGTTCCCAGAGAGTAGCTATCAGTGATTCACAGTCATGCTGGAAGGGCATAATGAGTGGGGTCCTACAGAGATCAGTTCTTGGTCCAGTTCTGTTCAATATCTTCATCAATGATTTAGACAATGGTATAGAGAGTAAACATATAAAATTTGCGGATGATATCCACCTGGGAGGGCTTGCAAGTGCTTTGGAGGATAGGATTAAAATTCAAAATGATCTGGAAAAACTGAAGAAATGGTCTGAAGTAAATAACATGAAATTTAATAAGGACAAATGCAAAGTACTCAATTTAGGAAGGAACAATCTGTTGCACACATACAAAATGGGAAATGACTGCCTCAGACAGTCTGACTGCCTACTGAAGAATGGAATCTAGGGATCATAGTGGATCACAAGCTAGATTAAAAAAACCAATCATCAGTCTGGAATGTAATATCAGGAGTGTTGTAAGCAAGAAATGCTGATTAGGCCTCAACTAGAGTATTGTGTCCAGTTCTGGGCGCCGCATTTCAGGAACGATATGGGCAAGATGGAGAAAGTCCGGAGAAGAGCAACAAAAATGATTACAAGACTAGAAAACATGACCTATAAGGGAACATTGCAGAAATTGGGCTTGTATACTCTGGAGAAGAGAAGACTGAGAGGGGACATGATAATAGTTTTCAAGCACATAAAAGATTGTTAGAAGGAGGAGGGAGAAAACTTGTTCTCCTTAACCTCTGAGGATAGAACGAGAAGCAATGGTCTTAGATTGCAGATGGGGCGATTGAGTTTGGACATTAGGAAATACTCCCTAACTGCGAGGGTGGTTAAGCACTGGAATAAATTGCCCAGGGAGGTTGTGGAATCTCCGTCAATAGAGATCTTTAAGAGCAGGTTAGACAAACACCTGTCAGGGATGGTCTAAATAAAACTTAGTCCTGCCATGAGTGCAGGGGACTGTACTAGATGACCTCCTAAGCTCCCTTCCAGTCCTACATTTTTTTGAGTCTACGACTGAGCGGATGTTTTCAGAAAACTCTCCACAATAACTCCAAGACCTTTCTTGAGTGGCAACATGTGGTGACGAAGCAGGAAAGGAAACAGAACACCAGGTCTGTGGTAGCCGAAAAGCCCCTCTACCTCCAGGAACTTTTCCTGGGGCTTTTATTCTTTACTTACTTTGTTTACAACACTTCTTAGTGGTTACATTCCTGCGCATAAAAAGGCCAGGCAGTATACATGCACATAAGATAACAAACCCATCTCTTGAGCTGTGAGGAAACAATCAAATCAGCCAAATAAGTTTCCCAAACATAGGCGCTAGAACAAGCTCACTCCTGCCTCATTGCCAAGGGAACAGTTTGCCGTTCTTCAAGGCTTGTGATTAGGGAGCAACACATTCCTACATCAACAACTAAATCAGACCCCATCCTTGTTAGTGTATAATTGAGATTATATTTTCCAATCTGTATTACTTTGCATTTGTCAACTTGAAATTCTACTACCATTTTCTTCCCCAGTCACCCAGTTTTGTAAGATCTCTTAGTAACTCTTTGCAGTACGCTTTGCACTTAACTATCATAAGTATTTTGTGTGGTCTGCAAACTTGGCCAATTCAAAGTTTACCTCTTTTTCCAGATCATTTATGAATACATTGAAGAGCACTGGTCCCAGTACAACGCCTTGAGGGAGCCCACTGTTTACCTCTTTCCACTTTGAAAACTAAAAGTTTCCTTTCTTCCCCTTTCCCATTATATATTAACCGGTTACTGATCCATGAGAGAACCTTCCCTCTTACCCCGTAACTCCTTAGTTTGTTTAAGAGCCTTTGGTGTGGGAGTTTGTCAAAGTCTTTTTGAAAGTCCAACTACACATTCTCCACTGGATCACCCTTGTCCATATATTTGTGGACTGATTCAAAGAATTCTAATGATTAGTAAGCCATGACTTCCCTTCACAAAAGCCATATTGACTCTTCCCCAGCGTATCATGGTCCTCTATATGGCTGATAATTCTGATCTTTACTACAGTTTCAACCAATTTACCTTGTACTGAACTTGAGACATTTTTAAAAATCGGCGTCATATTAGTTATCTGCCAATCATCGGATAGAGAGGCTGCTGTAAGCGATAGACTTCTTACCAGTTAGTAGTTAGGCAATTTCATATTTGAGTTCTTTCTGAACTCTTGGGTGAATACCATCTGGTCCTGGAGACTTATTACGATTTAATATATGAGTTTGTGCTATTGTCCTGGTTATATGTCCAGCACAGTATTGTAACCCAGAAGGTCTCTTTCTAAGGCCATTGAAGAGATTGGAGAGACTTTCATACAGTTCCAAAGGGTGTTGGCTCAAACACAAAGTGTACAGCTAAGGGTGAGAATGTACACCTGCAGAATAATGTCTTGCACCCCACAAGAATTCCACCTTGCTGCTAATTAGATACTAGTCGAGATTTAAAGAACAACACGGAATCCTGCACATCCCAGCAGATTGTAATATTGATACACCTCTGAGTCACCTTCATATTTTGAAGTTATTCAGTGAAGAAGTAATGCAATGGAACTGGATTTATACCTCTGTCAACACCAAGGAGATTACTGAGATGATACCAGGAAGGTATGTTGCCCATAAAACTTTCAGATTAAAGGAACTTCATGGTGTAATATGCATGTCATCCATATGTGGGATTGAAAATTGAGTAACTGATCAACCATAGCAAAGCCATTAAAATAATTAGAAGATGATAATAATCATACTAAGCAAGAAAACACTTTGTTTGGTTTTTGAAAGGGTGTCTCCTATCCTTCCCATTGGCTAAGAAAGCATATAAAAGTGCTTGCAACTCTGGGTTGTTGTATCCACTTCTCTTGACTTCATCCCCTTGGTGAACTGGGTAAGTCTACTGAATTCAAATTACTCTAGTTGTTGCTTTAGAGATAGTTTAACTATGGATTGAACCTGCACCAAAAGTCTGTGATTTTAGCAATATTAAGGAGGTTAGTTCTTTCTTTCCAAAAGAGACTCTCTGTAACTAGTCAGTTCCAGGCCTTGGTGGTGGCAGACTTTAAACATATCATGCTGGGATTTTCAAATCCACTTATGGGATTGGGACACCCATTTGCAATAAATATAATAGGGGGCAGTGCATGTAAATCCATTAGACAATTATGAAAAATCTCAGCGTTAGGCTACTTTAGCAATGGACAGTTTTATTCTGACTCTTTATTGATAAATACAATTGCCAGCCCATCAGCTGACTTCACTGGACTCACAGCTGTTTGTCCAAGATGATCATCTGACCCTGCTGTTTCCATAAAAGGCTGGAGATCAGTTTTGAAATATAACAATTGAATAGCAGCTTGATTGTTCTTTTCAGTTTAGTGGACGATCAAGACCTTGAAAAGTTTGAGAAGCTGGAAGTGCTTTATATGAATTTCCCTTCAGGGCAAATTTAGCCCCTAGGTTAGTGACAGTAAGAAGAAATTCTCCTTATGAGCAGTTTCCTCCATAATGGGCCACATCAGGGCTCCTATCATTTTCTCTGAAGAGTGTCGTGCTGCACAGCATTAGAGATGGGACACTGGATGAGTTGGACCACTGAGCGGACCCACTATGGCAAAACTTAAAGTCTTATGGGTAGAACTTTTCATCTTCAATCCAGATCTTTAGCTGATACAAGCTGAAATAGCAGATCTGAATTAAAAGTAGCTCTCACTGACTTCACAGGGTGTTGTACAGCTTAATGGTTGCATGAAGCAGTGAAAAGTTAACGTTTTGAAATTGTTGGGAGTTGTGTGTGTGTATGTGTGTGCGTTTGAAGCCTAAGGGGAATGGGTGAAAAGGAATAGAAGGAAGAAACCGGAGCAGATATGTGGCCTTCAACAAAGCCCTCCTACCGATCTCGCTCCCCCTTACTCTAAAACTCAAACCGTGAATCTCTTATTCCAATCTCAACTGTATCTCATGGTTTCTTTACTCCCGCCTGTTTTTTCAGGATTCCCTCCATCACAGAAGATGTCTTACTGCCCACCACAGGACTGTATTCCCGATATATGCCCACGTCCATACATTGACGTCTGCAACGAGCCGTGTATCTCATCATGTGGAGATTCGACTGCAGTGGTCTTTGCGCCACCAGTTGTTGTGAGATTCCCGGGACCAACTATGGCTACTTGTCCTCAAGACAGCTTCGTAGGAAGCTCCTTACCAAATATGCCAATTAGAGCTGGGGCCTCATATGGTTCCGGTGGAGGTTTCAGTGGCTCAATCACTTCTGGGGGTAGTTACGGTGGTGGTTTGGGAGGAGGTTACAGTGGAGGCTATGGGGGAGGTAGCAGTATTGTTTATGGGGGTGGAGCCGGGGGTGGTTATGGCGGAGGAGCTGGGGGTGGTTATGGGGCTGGTTATGGAGGCTCATATGGTTGTGGGGGCTCACGTGGTTATATCAGGAAGTCATATCGTAGCATTTCTGGGGGAGGATATTCTGGATTCAACCGTGGGAACTGTGGGCCATGTTAAACCCAGAAAAACCATCCATGGAATGAGAAACAATCAGGGGATGACAAGATAGAGATTCACCACGGATCTAATGGACAATGATGCCTACAACTCTACTTGCAGACTGTGGGTGTTTGTCACCTCTGTAAATCAGGCCTATCTGTGTCTTCCACTTGTTACATATTATTGTAGGTTTATGATCTAATGGTTTTGCAGCTTACTCTTATGCTCCTATTGTGCTTTGTCCTATTTGACGTTGAACTGGCTAAAACAAGTCACTTGGCTGAAAAAGGGACATGATTTTCAAACTCAACAGCTTCAAGACAGAAAGCAGATCATCTTGTGTGAAAAGCCTCACTTTGGAGCGGGTGATTGGTTCTTGCTTGTATTGTACCCCTGAAAATACATTCTTTGTACTCTGCATTAATTCATTCTACAAGTGTGTACTCCACTGCTCATTCCCATTAAAAATTATTCTGCATCATAGCATTGGCCTTCTGGTTTTCCTTTCTCCTCCATTCTTTCTATCCAAAGGAATTAGGGTGAAATTCACCCTGGTGCAGCTGCTCTGTATATGCCCCCTGCACTATATCCCTCCAACTCAAGAGAATACCTAAGCAGCAAAGTACATTAACTGGTCAATAGCATGGTGCTGGCCATGTGCCCAGGGGTGATATTCCCCCTTGTTCCAAAAGTCTCAGAAGGGAATTAGAATATATTTCCCTGCTCTAAATATTACATAAAATTGTAGGGGAGGGATAGCTCAGTGGTTTGAGCATTGGCCTGCTAAACCCAGGGTTGTGAGTTCAATCCTTAAGGGGGCCACTTAGGGAGATGGAGCAAAATCAGTACTTGGTCCTGCTTGTGAAGACAGGGGGCTGGACTCGTTGACCTTTAAGGTCCGTTCTAGGAGATAGGATATCTCCATTAATTTATTTATTTAGAATCCTTGAAATATAGGGCTGGAAGGAACCTTGGGATGTCACCAAGTTCAGCCCCCTGTGTGGCGGCAGGACCTGACCTGACTGGTCTTTGTCTAACCTCTCCTTATAAACCTTCAATGGAGATTCCACAACTTCCCGTGAAAGCCTGAAATCAACGCTTTACAATCATTAGAGTTAGAAAGTTATTCCTAATATCTAACCTGTATCTCCCATCATGCAGATTAAGCCAATTACATCTCATCTTATCTTCAGAACAACTGATCACCATGTTTTTTAAAACGGCCCCACACATACTTGAAAACTGTTATCCAGTCCCCCGTCAGTCTGCTTTTCTTAACACTAAACATGCCCAGTGTTTTCAATTTGTCCTCAGAGGTCAGGGTTCTGAAACTTTTGTCATTTTTGTAGCTCTCCTCTGGACTCTCTTCAGTTTGTTCACATCTTCTCTATTGAAGTGTGCTGGGCAAAATTGGGGACAAAACTCCAGCTGAGGCCTCACCAGTGCCTTTCCTTCCCAAACTTCGTACTTTGCAGTTGCTTTTATTGATTTCATTTTGTTGATTTCAGATGAAGTCTCCAGTTAGTGAAGCTCATTTTGAATTCTCATCCTGTATTCCAAAGTGCTTCAATCCTCTCAGCTTAGTGTCCTCTGCAAATATTATCAGTGAACTGTCCACTCCATTATTCAAGTTATTAGAGAAAATACTGAAGAGTAAAAGATGCAGGACAACCTCCTCTGGCTACCCCCCCATAGGTATAGCATCCTAGTTTGACAGCAAACCATTGATAACAAATCTTTGAGTCCAATCTTTCAACCAGTTTTGTAGCCATCTGATAATAATTTTGTCTCAACCATGTGGTTGAGGGAAATGTTTCCCAAGTTTGCTTATAAGAATGTCTGGTGTGCATCTGCAGCGTGTCTTGAACTGGTAGGTGTGCCCTGAGCCAACCTAATGCACTATGAGCCACAGGTGAGATCGGGGGGAAATTCCCTCTGGGGCCAGGACACTGAGCACCTTGGGAGAATCAGGACATCACACCAGATATTTCCTAACATCAAGATATAGGTAGGACTTTAAAATAATTTCCCTCCAGTTAATTTATGATAACTTTTAAGTCAATATGAGGGAAAGGATTTTTAGTTGAATAATGATTTTTCTTCAGCTGACACCTGTGTCATTGCACTCCATATGTTTTATGGAAATATGCTTATGAGTGTGAATATGAGGTAACTGGAATATGCTTTGTGCAAAAGGTCTCTTGTAAGGTATCATAACAAAGGTTATAACCTACTGAATATAGTTCTCTTATTTGTATGCATGTATCATTCTTGTATCTGAAGCTAGAAATATGAAGTATAACTCTGAGGTCCTATTGTAATTATACAAAGTGTGGGCCATTAATGGTGGTTTAGAATCTTGATGGCTCCCATTGACTAGGACAATTGGTTGTAAATGGTTTATTTACCTGCACTCCTTCCTGTGTAGGTGTGAGCCAACCCAGGAAGAATGGAGACTGGGGTGTTACACAGTGTCATGTGACCATGTCACATGATCATGGAATCCATTTAATCCTTGTACTTTTCCATTGATGAGGCGAGGGTGGGGAAAAGAACAGACAAAAGATTCCTGCCTTGTTCCAAAACGGGAGTGGAGCATGACAAATGGGTCTACCAATCATGAGAAAACCCCTGCTTACGACCTGAGATGTCTGCTGGAACTAACAAGGACTGTAGCAGGGAAAACGATTGGGCCCAGATTAGGAAGGAGTCTAGTCTGTGAAAGAAGCTTATTGAAACACCTCTGAGGGTGAGATATTACCTGTAATCAGTTTCTTAATGTATTAGGTTTAGACTTGTGTGTGTTTACTTTCAAAATTTCAAAAGTGCATGGTCCTAGATTCTGCTTGAGACATATTCACGGGAACAGTGGTCCAGAGAATAGACAGTGAGTACTTCTAAAAGCCAGGATTTTTCAAGATGTCTGAAGTTGGGCACCAAAATCACCAGTCGCTTTTGAAAATCTTGACTTTGTGTTTAGCCAAAGATGTCTTGAGTGATCTTTGGTAAATCAATATCCTCTCTCATCTCCCCATAAGTAAATAGACGTGGAAAAACTAGAGAGAGTCCGGAGGAGAGCTACAAAAATGACGAAAGGTTTAGAAACCTGACCTCTGAGGACTTGTTCCAAACACTAGACATATTTAGTGTTGAGAAAAGCAGACGGATGCGGGAACAGATAACAGTTTTCAAGTATGTGCAGGGCTGTTATAAAGAGCATTCTGATCAATTGTTCTGCATATCCGCTGAAGAAATGATGAGATGTATTTGGTTTAATCTGCAACAAGGGAGTTTAGGTTAGATATTAGCAATAACTTTCTAATTATAATAGTTAACCATTGATTTCAGCCTCCCACAGGAAGTTGTGGAACCTCCATCACTCAAGATTTATAAGGATATGTAATCAGAGACAAAGGTGGTGAGTTATATGGGCCCGTGGTGCCTGTGATCCACCAATATTTAGGAATGTGGGCCTGGCTCCACCAATGTTCGGGCTTATCCTGCTTTGTGGGGCCCACGCTTCGGGGGAACACAGGGTCCAGGGCAGCCTGGGGGGCTAGTGGGGGTCCTGGCACTGGCAGGAGCAAGCGACCTGCCCCAGCCCACCCTCCCCCCCATTTCACCCCTTCCCCCCAAACCCCACCCCTCCTCTCTTTCTGGCTTCTGGCCCTTCCCCTGAGCCATGATGGAAGCCGGCAGCGCGGGGCAGAGCAGATTAGGCTGGGGCCAAGTCACTTGCTGCTGCCAGCACCAGACTTCCCGCTAACCTCCCAGGCTGCCCTGGACCTCGCGTCCCCCTGAAGCACGTGCCCCCCCCAAAGCACAGGTCCCAGAGTTGCTGCCCTGGCTGTCCAATGGACGGGATGGCTCTGCCTGGACCATGCATCCCCCTGAAGTGCGGGACTCCGCAAAGCACGGGCCCGGGCCAGTTGTCCCAGTCCATTCTACGGCCGGGACGGCTCTGGTTGGACCCGTTTTGGGCACCACCAAAAATTATATAAACCTGGCGCCCATGATCAGAGACCAGTCAGTTCTCTGCACAGGGGACTGGACTAGGTGACCTTTCAAGGTTCCTTCCAGCCCTTTATTTCAAGGATTCAACGATTTTATGTAATATTTAGAGCAGGGAAATATATTCTAATTCCCTTCTGAGACTTTTGGAACAAGGGGGAATATCACCCCTGGGCAGATGGCCAGCACCATGCTATAGACCAGTTAATGTACTTTGCTGCTTAGGTATACTCTTGAGTTGGAGGGATGTAGTGCAGGGGGCATGTACAGAGCACCTTCACCGTGGTGAATTTCACCCTAATTCCTTTGGATAGAAAGAATGGAGGAGAAAGGAAAACCAGAAGGCCAATGCTATGATGCAGAATAATTTTTAATGGGAATGAGCAGTGGAGTACACACTTGCAGAATGAATTAACGCAGAATACAAAGAATGTATTTTCAGGGTTACAATATAAGCAAGAACCAATCACCCGCTCCAAAGTGAGGCTTTCCACACAAGATGATCTGCTTTCTGTCTTGAAGCTGTTGAGTTTGAAAATCATGTCCCTTTTTCAACCAAGTGACTTCTTTTAGCCAGTTCAACCTCAAATAGCACAAAACACAATAGGAAGCGATGAACACCCACACTCTGCAAGTAGAGTTGTAGGCATCATTGTCCATTAGATCAGTGGTGAATCTCTATCTTGTCATTTCCTGATTGTTTCTCATTCCATGGATGGTTTTTCTGGGTTTAACATGGCCCACAGTTTCCACGGTTGAATCCAGAATATCCTCCCCCAGAAATGCTACGATATGACTTCCTGATATAACCACGTGAGCCCCCACAACCATATGAGCCTCCATAACCAGCCCCATAACCACCCCCAGCTCCTCCGCCATAACCACCCCCGGCTCCACCCCCATAAACAATACTGCTACCTCCCCCATAGCCTCCACTGTAACCTCCTCCAAAACCACCACCGTAACTACCCCCAGAAGTGATTGAGCCACTGAAACCTCCACCGGAACCATATGAGCCCCCAGCTCTAATTGGCATATTTGGTAAGGAGCTTCCTACGATGCTGTCTTGAGGACATGTAGCCATAGTTGGTCCCGGGAATCTCACAACAACTGGTGGCGCAAAGACCACTGCATTTGAATCTCCGCACGATGAGATACATGGCTCATTGCAGACGTCAATATATGGGCGTGGGCATATATCGGGAATACAGTCCTGTGGTGGGCAGTAAGACATCTTCTGTGATGGAGGGAATCCTGAAAAACACAGGAGGGATGAAAACGTAAGACACAACTGATAGTGGAATAAGAGATTCAGGCTTTGAGTGTTAGAGTAATGGGGGCTAGGTAAGTAGATGAGTTTTGCTGAACGCCACATATCCTTCTATTCCTTTGCACCCAGTCCCCCCAGGCTTCAGAAATGAAAATAAAATAATTTCAAGCAGTTTCATGAGAAGTTACCTTTTCACTGCTTC